TTAAGTGTAGGGTGAAGACTCAGAAAACATTATTTCTAATAATTCATAATGAGAAATTCTAAACACCTGGGTGATTATACAAATGTTGACACTGGAGCTAGCTTTTGGACACAATGTGCTGCCCTAGGTATACAAATGCAAGACATTAATGACATTTGAATGTGCTTTGAATTTCTCTAGTAAGTAGTGGAGATGGATTTTCCCTTTGCCATCGATACTTTTGCCCATCCCTCCTTACAGTGAATGCTGCAAATTCAGAAACAATTGACCTTATGTTGGGATATGGCTGTGAAAAGTGGTGAGCGTAATAACGCATAAAGATGTTGGGATCCACGGCCAAGTCTGCCAAAGCAAGCTGGGCTTCATAAATACTTCTTTCCATGAAATGGCTCCAGCCTCATTGGTTTTGTTCTCTGAAAGGAGGAATGGGAAGAGTTCTAGAATATTTTGCTGCATCTCTACATTATTTCACCAACCTGGATGATTGGAAGCCCATGTTCTGGTGCATAGAACATAAATCTCTATAATGGCAATGAAAGAAATAAGACAGCAAATTTAAATACAACTGCTGAAGGCACTAAACTCACACCCTTGGCCCCACTTGCCTAGTCAACCTCATTTTCATTTCAAGGGCCTAAAACTCTCATTCAGTGAAAAGTTAAGCAAGAAGTTCCACAGAGTGGTAAGAAAAAATTCATTAGGGGGCAGCTAGGTGGTGCAGTGAATAGAGCACTGACCTTGAAGTCAGGAGGACTTCAGTTCAAATCTGGCCTCAGACCAAACACTTGACACTTACTAGCTGTGTGACCCTGGGCAAGTCACTTAACCCCAACTGCCTTAAAAAAAAAAAGGAAACTGAACAAAGAAAAAAGGCATTAAAAAACTTTTGTTAAAAAAATGCTAAATCTGAACCGTAATTGTCTATCAAATGTGAATCAGCAACCTAATCAGTGTAAAAATAACAAGTCACAGATTGTAAAGCACTTCTTTTCAGGAAAAACTTCTAGTTTAGCTGCACAGTGCTGGCATTTCCTATAGCTCTTATTCCTTTGGCAATATTACTTGATAACACTTTCTGCCAGAAACTCTAAAGGTCAATGTAGGCTTAGTTTTTTCTAATTTCTGGAATAGTTTACTATCAGGACCATTTTTTGAGAAGGGAGAGACAACCTTCCACAGAAGAATCAAAGTGAAAACTTAAAAAAAAAAACAGGTATAAAGGTACTAGAATAGTGATTTAAAAAAAAATATCTATGGGCAGCTAGGTGGCACGGTGGATAGAGCACCTGTCCTAGAATCAGGAAGACTCCTCTTTATGAGTTCAAATCCCATCTCAGACACTTACTAGCTGTCTGACCCAGGCCAGTCACTTAACCCTGTTTGCCTTAGTTGTCTCATTTGTAAAATGAGCTGGAGGGGGAAATGGTAAACTATTCCAGTATCGTTGCCAAGAAAATACCAAATGGGGTCACAGAGTCAGACAGGACTGAAACAACCCAACAACATTTATATGGTGCTGAGTATGTGCTAACACAGTGCTAACTGTTTACATTTATCTCATTTTGTCCTCCCAACAACACTGGGAGATAGGTGCTATTATTATCCCCATTCTACATATAAGGCAAACAGAGGTTGAGTGACTTGCCCAGGATCACACAGCTAGTAAGTGTCCAAGGTGGTACTTAAACTCCAGTTCTCCTGACTCCAAGCCTTGTGCTCTATCCATGGTGCCACCTAGCTTCCTATATAATCTAAAAATAGTCTTTTTGCTTAATTAATTTAGAAACCCAAAAAGTGTGAATGAGTAAACCAAAGCCATACTCAATGGAAAAGCCAACGCAAGAACTTCATTGACCTCTCTAGTCCAATATTCTATCCATTCACCTAAATTCCTATTGCTCAAAGGAAGAGGACAGAGGGGAGGAGTCTCAAGCAACATTTCTTACTTCCATTCTTAAATTTGTAATCCTTGGATAAACTAGTCAAGGGCAATACTATATTTTAACTAAATCCTTTAAACTTGCTTGATGCCTTTGAGATTCTTAAAAACTTCCAAGGAGGAGAAAACGGTTTTGCCTCGTAGGGCATACTATTTTACTTTCAGATCACTCTTGTTGTTAAACATTACCCTCATCACAACTTTCACTTATTGCTACTAGTTACACCCCTAGGAACTAAGCAAAATGTCTAATCTCTTTTCCATTAGCTAGTCCTTAAAATCCTAGAATTCGTTTTGTTAAACATTCACACGTGATAACAGGGAGACCATTGTCAGTAGATCACAGAATAAATGGAGCAGTGCAAGAAGAATGGAAAGGGGAGGAAGGGAGGGTTAGGATGGAAGTCATGAAGGTCTTCAAATGTCAGGATTTTATATTTGATCATGGAGGTAAAAGGGAGTCACTAGAGTTCACTGAGTAGAGGGGTGGCATGGCCAATTCTGCACTTGAGGAAAACTAGTTTTACAGCTAAGTGGAGGATGGATTAGAGTGGGAAGAGGCTTGCGGCAGGGATTACAGTAATCCAGGTGTGAGATGGTAAGGGCCTGCTCTGGGTTAGTGGCAGTGTTAGAGAAGGGGCGAGGGGATGTATGGGAAAGATGTTACAAAGGTAAAATTGACAGGATTTGGCTAGAGTTTGGATTTGGGGGATGAGAGAGTGAAGAACCAAGGATGACACCTAGTTGCAAGCCTAGGTGACTTGGAGGATGGTGGTGCTATCAACAGTTATAGGAAAGCCTGAAAGGGGGAAGGTTGAGTGGGGGGAGACAATAAATTCAGTTTTGTACATGTTGAGTTTAAGATGTCTAAATAACATTCAGTTTGAACCTCCATAATATACTACTTATATTATTACTAATATACTCCTTATGTTATATTGTATATATATGTGTATATACATATACACACACATGTATTATATACATCTATATATACATATGTAATATTTTAATTTTTTTTCATTTCATGGTTGGGAAATCAGGCTACCTGTTATGTTTAATACTACCTATATTACAAATAATATTACTAATAAGTATACATATGTATATTATGTATATGTAAACAATATACACACATATGTGTTTTACTTTTTCAATGTTTATTTTTATTTATTTTTATTTTTTAATATATTTTTAATATTTAAATTTAAATTTTTTTTCCATCTCATGGTTGGGAAATCAGGCCAACTGCTGTAATATATTTCTGCTTCTAGAAATTCAGCCTCTCATAATTTTTTATTCCTAATGTACAAGAGGGCAAAATTTCAGATAACCAAGTTTATTAAATCATTAATGTTATTTTATGCCCAAATCTAACATAGTAATCTCTAGATAAATGACTACAATTGCTTCCATAGCTCTCCTACATAGTAAAAGGCATGAACTTTGTGACACTATCACTTAGAGTACAGATAGTGAAGATGCCAAGTACAGGTGCCACTTCATTTGCCTTATCTCCCTATCCCAAGATAAAAACATGTTCTTCTTTAGATCTCTTGGGGCAACTTTATTCTCTCCTTTGGACTTAACATATTCAAATCTGCATTAGTTGTTTCTGTACTTGTCTATCAGATCATAAGCTTCTAGAGGCTAGAAGAAACCTGCCTTTTATTCATCTTTGTATTCTTAGTGCCTAGAACAATGCCTTCCATGAAGTAGATGCTTAATGTCTAAATTATCAAAGCTTTGGTATTGCTGAATTCGCCTGGCCCACTGGTGATATGTCGATGTTTTTTAAAGAAAAAAAGATACTTAAAGGTTCCCTTTTTAAAGTTGAATGCAAACTGAACATGAGATTACAGTCAGATATGTCACAGTCAGATACTACCCCCCCCAAAAAAAACCCACTAATGTGATCTTAGGCTAAGCTAATAGAAATATAAGAGAAATAATAATCCACTGTGATCTTTGTTGGCCAGACCACGCTTGAAGTATTGTTTCTTTAAAGAGACATTGACAAGCATGTTTATAGGAAAATGCCTAAGGTGGCTGGAGCCCATGGCTGAAGGAAATGTTTCTCTTTAGCTTGGTAGGGTTGGGGGGAAGAGAAGATTTGGGTGGGATTTGAGAATGGATCAGTGGAGGAGGTAATAGTCTTATTATGTGTGACTCCAGACAGCAGAGCTTTGAACAATAAGGGGTAAAGCTACAATGAGGCAGATGTACATTTGATATCAGGAAAAAAATCCCTAATAATTGATTCTATCTGAAAATGGACCTTCTGCCTCAGGAAGTAGTAGTCTCCCATTACTGGAGATCTTCAAGCAGAAGGCAGAAAACCATTGTCAGGGGATGTCTAGAAGTGATTTATCTATCAAGGGAAGTAATCAGGACTTTTCATGAGTCAGTGTCATGGCTTTGTCCTTAGAAGACTAGAACACCATTTAATGGTGGTATCTCTTAAGTCTCTGATTTCTATTTCTCAGCTAGGTTTCTGGCCTGAATTAAGTTGGAGGAATTGTAGCTGCTGCTTCAACTTGCTACATAACTGAAAAGTTGATTCCTACTGCTTCAAGACTGTTACTTCAATCTTGCTAATGTAAATTTAATAGAACTAAGCATATGCAAAGAACTTCCAATGTCTTTTCTCAGCTTCAGCTGGGCAAAGGGGGAATTCTTTTTTTTTTTTAGGCAATTGGGGTTAAGTGACTTGCCCAGGGTCACACAGCTAGTAAGTGTCAAGTGTTTGGTCTGAGGCCAGGTTTGAACTCAGGTCTTCCTGATTTCAGGGCCAATGCTCTATCCACTGCACCACCTAGCTGCCCCCAAAGGGGGAATTCTTAAGTAATTTCAAGTAGGTCATTAGCTAAATTGATAAAGTACTTTGAAGTGAATGGATGAAGAATGTCATATAAATTAGCAGTCATACAGGTTTTGTTAGCTCAGACTATGGCTTCATGGATTATCAGAGAAAAGCTGGAGGTGAATCTTGTTTGCTGGTTTCCTCCCCGGTGGTGCTTGTGGCTGGTCATGTGGACAGAAGGTTTCTGCTGCCATCTTCTTACAGTACTTCCTTCAGAGTCCCTGCTGCTGCTTGAACTGTAAATGCTGCAATGGAGAGCTGTTTTTTAACTTCTTCCCAGGCCTCGTGTTGATCTGCTTTGTTTTCAATATCAAACATGGCATCATAGATTCCTGGAAATGATTCCCCTGCATATTTGTTGTGACTACTTGGAGCAAAGATGATGTGCCTATGAGAAGAAGCCACAAACCAAAAGAAGACTGGTAAATAAATTTGTTCTCTCTTAATGTAGCATTCAATGAGCATTTAGTGACCTGATTCCTAATACTAGTGTGAGAGAGATAAGTAGTGCTTCCCACCTACCTAGCTCCCATAACATGTTTGCTGTAACTCTTTAAAAAAAGAAAAGGAAAAGGAAACAAATAAATCAATAGACAACTTTTTGAAATTTGTGTATAATTTACTGCAGATCACTTTAGGATATAAGGAAGGAAAAAATATACTACCGCATGTCTCATTGGTAAGGTACACAATGTGAGGGAAAATGTGAAACTAAACTTCAAATTTACAATACATACTGCTGCTGATTGGTGGCTTGCTCTCCGTTGAAAGGAATTGGGAAGGAGGAGAGACACACAGATTAGACTATGAAGGCGAGGTACTTTGTAACAAAGTCAAGTGAAAAAAGAATGTATCTGAATATGATGAGATATACACGAGTCTTTTCTTCACATTCAAGGTCTACATATACAATAAACCAATAGAAATGTGTTTTGATAGGGTTGGGGGTACACATAAATTATGTGCAGACTAAAGCAATAGATCTGAGAGAGATAACCTGGCCATGAACAAGTACGATTTTCAAGGAAGGTTCAGAACATTTTAAATATTCTGGGTTAGCCCACTAGGAGGGCCATGTAATATTAACAGACTTTCTAGAACAGGATCAATTAAGAGGAGGTAAGGAAAGGTTTTTAGAATTTTCTCAATCTCACTTGCACCCCCTCTTGAAAATCATAATGAAAGAATGTGGTGGGAGGGTAGCTCTGGAGAAGAGGGCATAACTGGCATTATGATAATAATAACAGACACTTTCTAAAACTTCTGGTCAGGAAGATGGTATGATAAGTTATAGAAAAGTCTCAACTCTTCAACATGTATCTTGGCAAAGATCCAAAAAGCAGAATCAGATTGAATAATGATCAAGAAGTCTGAAGAAAAACAATAGTAAATTCCTTTCTTTATCCAGACAAGGACTACACAAAAAGACAGCCAAAAGCCTAGAGGCACTGTGATCTTGTCAGAGAGGCAGATGGACAGGTGAGTAATCCAGAAGCCTGTCCATGTTCAAATGGGGAAGCCCCAAGGGTATCAGAAACACGTGATTTTGTTTCCTCTCACTGTGGATGCTGAACTGAAAGCTAAATGGTTCAGAACCGGATACCTTTGGAGCTGGGTGGGGGCAGGGGAGAAGAGGATGTGTTCTACAGAATTCTGATTTGAAATGCTCCCAGGAAGCCCTGAAGACCATAGTACTCTGATGCTAGACAATCTTGGGGGCCTGAAACATATCACTGCTCTCAGTACAGACACACTCAAAAAGGTGGAAGCCAGTAGCAGAAATTCAAGAAATCAAAGTTAGAAACAAATAGGGGCTAATCACATTATCTACAAGTACTAGACAGGGTGGAGACTAGCCCTGACACAAAATCCCAAATCAGGAACTGAGGCTGGGGATAGGAAGAAACAAAAGAAAGCAATAAACACTTTGAAGAAATATCATAGATCAAAAGATATCCAAGCAACTAAACAGAAGAAGAAAGTAACTCCACGACAACTATAAGTAGAGCCTCAAAAGAAGATGGCATGGCTACAAGGACTACAAAAGTACCTGGAAGAAATAAGTAAAAAGTGAAATAATAAGTGAAAGAAGACCTCTGGAGAAAAGAATGGAAAGAAGAATAACTATCGTTGAAATTAGTGTAAAACCTTACCTGAGAGTAAGAGAATCCCTGAAAATTAGAATGGAGGGGGAAAATGCAATGATTTCATTAGCCAAAAAAAAAATGATAAAAAAAAATAGAAGGAATTTAAGGTATTTACTTTCAAATAGTTAACTTGGAAGACAAGTGAAGGATAAATGGATAGATAATTTAAGAATCACTGGATTCCCCCAAAACCAAAAAATAACAAAAAAAACCTGGATATTATATTTCAAGGAATCATAAATAGTGGCCAGTGCTATACTATGACCAGTTTGATCTACACCAGGAATGCAAGGTAAATTCATTATTATGAATATTATAAGCATATTTATGACAAGAACAAAAAAATCATGTGATAATATCAAGTTGCAGAAAAAAAGCTTGACAAAATAAGGCACTCATTCTGTTAATAAAAGAATTAAAAGCATTAGAATAAATGTACCATTCCTTAAAATGGAAAATAGGATCTATTAAAACCCCAAACCCAGAATTATGGGTAACTGAAAAACACTAGAGGCTTTTTCAAAAAAATTCAGTGGTAAAACATGGATGTTCACTATTACCTCTATTATTTGATAAAGTGACAGAAATGCTCGGTATAGCAATAAGGAAAGAAAATACAATTAGCAGAATAAGTATAGACAAAATTATCTTTTTGCAGGAGATCTGAGGCAGCTAGGTAGAATAGTGGGTAGAACATTAAACTTAGAGTCAGGAAGAACTGAATTCAAATCTTGCCTCAGACACTTACAAGCTAGAGAAATCACTCTGTGTTTCAGCTTCCTCATATATAAAATGAGAGGATTGGATTTAATAGATTATAAAGTCTCTTCTAGCTCTGAATCTATGAATCCATGATATGATGGAAGGTAATAATAAAAATGTCAGGAAACCATTACTTTCGCAAAGTGCCAAGATATAAGATAAACTCACACAAATCATTACCCCTTTCTGTACATAACCAACAAAACCCAGTAGGATGAGATTGAATGAGAAATTTCACTCAAAATAACTAGAGAATATATAAAATATTTGGGAGTCCACTTCCCAAGAAATGCACAAAGAGGATTAAAACATTAGTTAGAGGTGAAACTCAGCTGCCAGATAACTATGCTTTCATTACCCTCAACCTGAAAAAAAAAATTAGGGAATTCCAAGAAGAAGCACTAGGCAGAAATCTGAATGACTTCTGGTATAGTATGAGCCTGTTGTAATAGATTCCCACTATCTCTCAGTGGGGACACTGCTCCTGCTCCATTCATTTGCTTCATATATGGAAGAGAAAGGGAAAAAAAGAGAGAAGAGACAGACATAACTACATTTTGTCTTTTCCAAAGAGTAAACCTAGTGGGCAGCCACGGGGCTCAGTAGATAGAACACTGGGCTTAGTGGATAGAACACTGGGCTTGGAATCAGAAAGACTCACCTTCCTGAGTTCTAATCTGGCCTCAGGCACTTAGTAGCTATGTGAACCTAGGTAAGTCACTTCACCCTGTCTGCCTCAGTTTCTCATCTATAAAATGAGTTGGAGGAAGAAATGGCAAACCACTCCAGTATCTTTGTCCAGAAAACTCCAAAATGGGGTCATGGACAATTGGAAATGACTGAACAACAAACTGCAATGACAAAGCACATTTTGCAGTTATTTCTATAAATGTACTAAGTGACCCTAAAACGCAAAGAGGGAAATCCAAAAATTTAAACAATGACAAACCCATGTAACATACAGATAATGAAGACAGAGTTTAAATGAGTTCCCTGAGATAACACATCTTGCATATAATAGAAGTGTAATAAATATATGTTGAATTAAATTGACATAGGCAATTCAGTAACCAAAGTGGAAATACAACTCAGACTGGGTCCTTTGCCATTCTTTTCCTGTGAGAAGCTCCTATCATGCTACTTTTTCTGTAGAATAGCAGTATCTGAATTCTACCTCCCAGGGAAGAATATGTCACTTTAAATAAGCATATCAGAAAATTAACTCCATGGTCAAATCCACTGCCTTCTAAAGCTCAAGTTGATTAAGGCTGCTCTATCAGGCAGTTACAGTAGGAAGCTTTGCATACGGCAGCATTATACAGGAAATGAATATCTCCTTTAACACAAGTCATTTGGATTCCCTGAAGTGTATCAGACATTCAGAGTTCTTGGCTTTTAAAGAAAGAATCTTATCGTCTTAAAGGGATCTTTCTTTTTAAAATGAATATTTATATCCTGCTTGATCCACCACACTAAAACTATTACAAGTTAGCAAAAGCCTTAGTGTGAGTGTATCTGAAAGTGCTGGAAAATTAGATAGAGAGTAGGTTGTCCTTCCTGTCTGGCCACTCCCTACCCCCTTTAGTCTCCTTGTGACTTTCCTGATGAAGAGAGCTGTTATATCATTCTCATTTCCCTCACCATCTGTCACGCCAACGAAGGCTTACTGATTATTTAGAGGCTTTGCAAATAAAAAACTGTCAGCTCCAGATTAGAATAATACTTGGGATTTTGTTTCATGCTTTTAAAAGTACTTTCACGGACATAGTTCTCGTTTGATTCACAAAAGCATCCAAATGATATCCCCATTTGACAGACGATGAAATAGACACAGTGAGATTTTTTTTTAAATTGGGTCTATCTTTCTCAGGTAGTAGTATAGGAAGTACAGGGACTATTCACAGACCCAGTCTAATTACGAACTAATGCAAATCTGTTTCTGACCTGGGCTGGTTCCCTCCTCATTAGGTCACCTGGTGCCCCTCCCCCCAAGTTGAGGGAGCTCATCATATTGATGATGGACTTATTGAGAACATCTGCTCAACTTTAGCTCTACCTTAGCTTAGAACTACTGGGATCAAGGCATCCTCCAGCGTCCTCAGCCTCATGGGTAGCTGTATTATAGGCTTGTACAATTTTCCCCAGGCAGATATAGTGAGATTAAGTGATTGAGAATCCTCTGACTTTTTAAGGGGTGCAAAGAACCTTAGAGATCATTTAATCCAACACTCATTCTACAGATGAGGAGGGTGAAACCTAGAGAGTTGAAATGATTTGTCCAAGGACAAAGAAGTCATAAAAAGCAAAGCTAGGAATTCAAACCTAGGTGTCCTGCTTCAATATCAATTATTCTTTCTATTATGGCATGAGCTCATACGGTAAGTTAATGACAGGGCCAGTATGAAAATCTAGGTCTCCTAGCACCATAGGACTGAGAAAAGTTTAGTGAAAATATAGTTCCAACTCCTTATTTTACATA